ATTCCTTGCTTCAAACTCCAACCTGGCAGATGGAAGGAACATTTGGAGCTCGTATGGAACTTACCAAACCAATCAGAAACAAGAGTGGACCTCCTACAGCATTGCTTGCAGATGAGGCCGCAACAGATCCAGACTCTGACCCGGAAGAACCTGAGAATCTCCTCATGACACCTCCCAAAATAGGTGAACAACTTGGGGAATTGAAAGACAAGCAACAGAAGGATCCTGAGGAGCTTGATCCTTTGGCAAATCAACCAGTGAGTCCTGCACCTAGTAGACCATTGCTTCCTGCAGCTTTCACACCGAATTTGGAACCTGTGGACGCAGAAATGTCAGGTGCATCCACTCATCAAATACCTGATTTGTTGGAGGAGCCGGATGCAAAGCGGTTGAGAAGTCGCCGAGCAGAGGAGGATCTTCCCCATGAAGATGAAGAGCTGTTTGAACCTTTTATGAACTCTTCTTTGTTGGATTCCGATGACTTGGAGGTGATTGGTTCAAGCAACTTTGATCAGGAGAACTACGATGTGTATGCTCAACATTTCCAGGAGAGCAGCAGCTCAGAAGAGAAATGGGAAGTGGATTCATCTGAATTGTGGTATCCCTTTACGGAGTCAGAACCTCAGCTCAGTGAACAGCAGATGGCATACCTGGATGAGATTGCAGACAGAGTTGAAGTGCAGAGATTGAAAAACATGAATGTATTGCAGGATTCAGACGGATTTTCAGGAGAGCTAGACACCAGTCTCAGTGCGAAATTTGTGCGAACTTGGAGGAAAAAGATGCTGGACGGAGTTCCTATGTATCTCAGGAGATCACGACTTTGCGCACGTGAGTTCAACTTCATGGAGTATAGGACTGATGTCTATTCACCGTCTTCAACAACCAACGTAGTGAAGCTACTACCATGTATGGCCATGAGCAATTCGTTTGTGCCAGGTGGATGTCTTGGTTCATTGGACATCACAGATGCATATTTGCAGGTCCCACAACTTAAACCCAGAATTGTTCGAGTGCAAGGAACAGAGCTGTCCTTTGTCATCCTCAAGTGCCTTCCCGGACAACGGGATGCTGCCAAGTTGTGGTACTTGTTTTTCACCGATGCTTTGAAGCGTTTGCTTGGTGCAACAGTCTGTTTAGAGCAACCTGCGTTGGTGAAATGTGGCAACAACGCAGTTCTTCTTTTGCACGTTGACGATGTTCTCTTTTATGGCAATGAGCAGTGGATATCCTCAGTGATGATTCCTGCCTTGAAGAGCGAGTTCAAGATGAGCTGCCAATATGTGCCAAGGCGAGATGGTGGAAGTTTTGAGTTCTTGAAACGTCTGCATGTGTTAGAACCAGGATATGCAAGTTTGAAGATTTTTCCTGAGCGCAAACATGCACGCGCACTCTTTGAACGCTTGAGCGAAATCAATGGACGACCACCACGAATCTCCAAAACACCTTCCTCAGCAGCATGTGCGCCACACCTTGACAACACCTTGCTTGACGCCGATCGGGCTGCTGACTTTAGATCGCTCGTAGGTCTAGCAATGTATTTGAGCCAAGAACGATACGATCTACAACACAGTGTCAAAAGCCTAGCAAGCTATCTGAAGGAGCCCACACAAGGAGCATGGAAAGCACTGGAACGTCTGGTGGGTTATGTCAAAGGCACTGAAGACATGTGTCTTTGCATGTGGCCAACTGTTTGTGGACAACAGTTCATGGAGAAGTACCACGAGATCAACCCGGATGTCAAAGAAAGCATTTGCATAGAAGTGTTTTCAGATGCTGATTGGAGTTCAACGGGTGACATGAAATCAACTTCTTCAGCCATTCATTGCATCCACGGTCAAGTGATGTTTTCCTCATCCAGATCACAAAAGTGCATCAGTTTGAGCAGTACTGAAAGTGAATGGTATGCCCTTTCGTCAGCAACCAGTGATGCACTCTGTTTGAAGCACATCCTAGAGTTTTTGTGTCCCGTAGATGCTTTGATTTGTCATGTGGACAATTCTGCCGTGAGAATGCTTTCTCAAAAGTTGGGTGTGAGTCGTCTCAAGCACATCAAGGGACGACTGCTTTGGCTTCAGCAGAAAGTGTCTCAGCGTGAGATTGAGATTCGTTATGTGAACACACATGCCAACATAGCAGATTTGAATACTAAGACTCATGCACGAGATCGACATCTCTCACTTCTGTATATGCTTGGTTATGTTTGTGGAAAAGAGCGAGTTGGTGAATCAGCATTCCTTCGAAAGAATGCGCAACTTGCAGTCAAACAGCAGTTGAAAGACATTTCGAGAGTGATTTGTGAATCTGACGAGTATCAGGACATGTACGGTCCAGGTGTTCGAACCACTAGCACACCAGCAATGAGCATGGCCAAGAAGGTCATGAGGATCATGGTGTTGAGCTCAGCCTTTCACTTCGCTTGTGGATTTGAATTTGAGCCCAGTTCAAATCATTTGATCGATGAGAGCTTTCCTGCCCTGGTTTGTGCGATTTCCTTGTTTGTGCTGCTTGGAGTGATGCGAGTGCAGAAGGATCGCCACAAGCCGAGAAAGCGCATGATTGCACTTAGCCTTGTAGCAATGTGCCTTCAGGGATGTGAATCGTTCGAAGCCTTGAGCCCAGCGCATGTGTTTTCTTTCATCGTGAGCTTCATGTGCATCCTTTTTGGAATATGGCTATGTGTGAATTGCAGAGCTGTGAGTTCCTGGATGTGTGGACTTTTCTTTGGAGCAAAAGATGTGATCACGAAAGATAACTATGTGCAGACAGAAGGGGAATTCTTTTCAGAGCCGGAATTGACCCGACACGTTGAATTGGCTTTGCAAATGCAAGACGCTCTCAGAGGACACAACAGTGAATCTGATGATGGAGTGGGAAGTACTATCTCACAATCTGAAGATCCTGATCGATTTGTGCGTGAAAACTATCCAGCTTTTCCCACTTTGAGTGATGCTACAGAGATCATGCCTGAAGCGCCAGGTGTGATGTGGGTGACATTGCAAGGAGCTTTTGATGGTGGACATCGAGATCGCTATCGATGCTTCTGCGAAGGATTTTCTCATTTGGCTCAACCCGGTGAGAGCTACTTCGAGCTACGTGGACAAACTTTGCTTTCTTTCACAAACCCAGTTGCTGGATCACAAAGAGAGATTTCAACTATTCCTCGATCCTCAGTACGTGGTGTTGCTGATGATACAGATGCAATCGATCCTGTGTCAGAAGCCGATGAAGAGGATGCTGAGAATCAGGCAAGTTTGAGAAGACGTTTTCCTTCAACTTCAGCTGCTGCACCTAGTTCTTCGAATGGTGTACCAGAGCATTGGTTGGAGGAACGACTTTTGATGGCAAGTCGACGAGCTAGAGCTCTTCCAGGAGATGAGCCAGATTCGAGTGACGATGATGCTTTGATGTACACGCCGTGATCTTTGCTATAAGGCTGGTAGCCTTGAGAGAAAAGCAAGTGATTTTTGCTATGAGGCCTGTGGCCTTGCGAGAATGGAGAGTGACTTTGCTAAGAGGCTTAAGGCCTTGTGAAAAGAGTGAGTGAAAGAAGAAAGTGAGAGTGGCAAGAGTTTCACTTCAACATGTTTGGAACACGAGTTTCTAAATATGTACACCCAGTTCATGGATGTCGCAGACATAGCTTGATTGGGTGATTGCAGTGAGTACATCCTCACATATATCTCCTTACCAAAGGTAAGTTGTAGTGTTCCAAGAGCGGTAGCTTCCTTCATGCTACAGCTGTTGCTTCGACGGCCTTTTCCCATGGCTGTTTTCACGAAACAGTGTCGAGGCAGTAGAACTAGAAACCACGTCTGAGAAAGGCACACAAAGTTCCTTACTCAGAGGCGGGGTCTGTGGTTTTTACTAGGTGACTTCAGACCTTGTTTGCTAGTTGAAAACTACTCCATGGAAACACGTGGAGATGAACATACGCCGAGGCTTTGATGGTTCGCAGGAAAAGTTAGACTTTCAATGGCATCTTGCTCCTCCTCTACATTTTGCCCTCGGGTGGCTTGCAAAGTGTCTGCTACGTTTCTTATCACGCCTTTCTCCTGCGAATCTTACGATCCGGTGGCTCACAAAATGTCTGCTACGTTGGAATGAGCCATTGGTGTCGCAACAAATCTGCGACGTTGGAATGGCACTCTTGTCTTCTAAATGCTTTCTTCGGATGTCCCACAAAAGGTTTCCTACCTTGGAAAAGCTCCTTCCTCCTCTGAATTTTGCCGCCGGGTGGCTCACAAAAGGCTATCTTTCTCCTCGCGCTCACAAACAAAGTCAGGAAGCCCAAGAACAACACAACCCGAGAAACCAAGAAACCAAGCAAACCAAGAACCCCGGAAACGCAAGAAACCCAAAAAGCGTGAAACCTAGAAGGCAACAGAAAGCAGGAAAACCAGGAAACCAAGCAAACCATGAAAGCAGGAAACCAACATAAACCAGGGAAACCTAGAAACCAGGACGGCTAGAAACCAAGACGGCTAGAAACCAACAGCACGCTGATCCTGCGCCCTGCCATACTTTTCCCGCAACGATTGAACGCGTTCACACAAGATTCTATTTGCGCATGCACGGACGATATCCCTTCCGCTTGAGCCGAGCGATCAGGGGATAAGGCAAGAAGCCATCAAAGGGGAGCAAGAATAGCAACAAAACAATACGGAAAGTATAAAGTAAGCGCAAAAAACACGCAACAAAGATCAGAACTTCTTGAGAGTTTTGTGGAGGTTGCTCAGCGTTTCGCTTCCTTTAGGTTTCTTTCGGTTTGGCTTGGCGCTTCACTTCTTTGAAGTTTTTTGGGCCTTTCTTGCCTGCTCAAAGCAAAGGCGGGAGCAAAGCAGAAGCAGAAGAAGAAGCAAAAGCGAAAGCAGAAGCAAGATCCAAAACAAAAACACAAGCAAAAACACCTGCAGAAAAAATCACATGAAAAGAACGAAAAACATGTTCAGAAAAATTGTTCGGCAAAGAACGCATGTTGAGACCTTTCGGGCCGTAGATTAATTTCGCAAAATAACACTCTCAGAATGGTTTGAGCTCGGCGCAAGTTCTGAAAGCTGCAGCGTGCCGGAGCCGTCTGCGTCGATAATTTCAAACAGATTGGCACGGTCTGGTGGGAGTTCCAATTCGTCCATGAGCCCTTGAACTCGACGATCTTGAATAACCATCAAGAAAAGTTCCTTTGTGATTGCGATGCTTTCAAGCATATCACCATCCATGAAATTGTGGGAGTGCGCTATCTTTAGGCCCTTGCCTCTTTCAACGCCTTCATCCATATCCTGGAATAGTCTAAAAGCTGCAGCAAATTTTTTCAAAAGTTCCCGCGCTATTCGCGCGATGCGTATTGACTCCCGAGAGTGTTGCTCAACCGTGAGGTCATTCTCCTTTGCCGCTTTCATTGTGATGTCAACGTAAACCTTGGCGGATCCGGTTTCGCCGGAATGCATTGTAACGCTGCATATTGTGAGTGTTACCATGCTGCATGGCAAACATCATTAGCTTTTGAAACACATACCTTGCACAGACCCGGGCCTGCAACACAGACCACAACTGGAAGCACAAGAATGAGCTTCTCTGGTGAAAAACTTTCGTCCAAATGGAACGCATCTGCCCCCAGCACCGTTTCCAAGTCGCTTGTCTGGCGGATTTTCAAAAGGAATGATGAGGGCCCCTGCTGGGGCTGGAGAATCTTTCGGACCCCCTAATTCTGGAGGGAAGCTTTTCGTTTTGGATTTGCGCTTTTTCCTTTCAATTGATTGGTGGAACGAAGGCCTGCTGATGCTTGATTTCGTCCAGTATCGCGCCTTTCTGGCGTTGGGCTTCGTCAAGTCTAACGCTTTTATGGCGCTCGATTTCGTCCAGCCACTACGCTTTTTCTGGTGCTCGGCTTCGTCGGTGGCTGGGGATCCTTTTGCTTTTTAAATCCTTCTTGGGGCTGGGGCTGGTGACGCTTTTCCTTTCAATTCCCTTCTTAAGGCTGGGGCTGGGGAATCTTTTCCTTTCAAACCCTTTCAAACACCTTTTGGCCATTTGGAATTCGGAAAGAGACACAGTGGGGTGAGGCATGGGTGTGGACTAGGCTCCATGGATTGCCTCTTGGGCGGCTCGAATTTTCAACATTTGCTGGCGCTCCTTTCGCTAACTGTAAATCTTGTTTTGCGCAGCTACAGGGGGAGCAGCGCAAACCATGTCAAATTGGCTAAGCATCGTACATCTTTATTCCTGCGAGTATCCTTGCAAGCGGACCGTTCCGCACTGCCCCATCCGTTTCCACACCGCTCCCTCTTTAGCGTTTGTGAGCCAACTCAGCCTATATGTTGGTAGTTATTGGCCTAGTTTGGCCCCTATGGGTGTTCAGTGCTTTGGATGGTTTGTTTGTCTGGCACTCAATTCTGCAATGACGATCGTATCAGTTGAAACGACATCCTTACAACAAATTAATATCTATTAAGTGTTTTTCGTTTCTCCAATTTACTTTGTCGTCCGTCGCAACTCTCTGGCTCATCTGGGCGCCACACGGCCAGAATGACGTTGAAAATGCCCAAACTCACCAGCATAAAGCTCGCAACGTACCCGAAGACAAAACCAAAACCAATTTTGTCCGCCAAAATTGCATGTATTGGGGCACCTGCCTGGTTCACACATTCGCCGGTAAAGCACCGGAAGCAAGTGAACATGGAGTCCGGTATGGTCCGAAAGAACGGTTTCAAATCGGCATCGTAGACTTCCTGGCTGTTTCCGATGGTCATCGTGGCAAAGCCCGCAATGACGTAAAGCACCGTAAACAAGAGTATAAATGCCATGATGAGCGTTTTGATACCTGCAACGAGGCCTTTCACCATCAGACGAAGATCCTTCATGATCTTCAGCCGGAAAACTTTGACAATACGGACCAATCGAATCAAGCGGCAAAACCGCAAGAGCGAGGTAGCAAACACGTCTCCACTTTCTTCACGCCCTAAATGCAAAGCCATGTCGACCAACCCACTTGCCGCCAAAATTACATCAAAGTAGTTCCACCAACATTCTGGGCCACAAAAAAAAAATTTCACTCCTTGCATCAAAGCCATTCGCAACAAAATTTCCAAGATTAAAAACAACGCGAAACCCACTTCCAAATAGTCCAAGCCAGGCCATGTTGAATGTTCTTCATCTGACTGGAAGCCCACCATCACACCGTTTGAAATGATGATTAAGGCCACCAAGGGTTCCAAAAGCCTTGGCCAATTTGCTTTGCATTTCAATGTCTCACTGTCTCACCACTGTCTCTTTGCGACGCTACATTTGCGCGCGGCCTCGCCAAAACCTTCGAACGCCAATGCCTTCTAACCACAAAAGAAACAGGTTACAAAACCTGGCTCTACCCAGACTCCACCAAGTCACAATCCCCAGCTCTTTTCATCCTCAGCCGATCGCATCACGCACGTCGCTCCACGCACCCGCGCGCACAGTTGTGACCAGTCGCGTTTGCACGGAGCCGCGCAGTATACAACTTCGCTACACTTCGACTCCTTAAAAGAAACCTGCCCCAATCGCGCACCTGCGACCTGCACACCCCCAATCGCTTTGCCCGTCATCAAATTTTGGGCTCACATGGCACGGGCATGAATGAACTACAATGCGCATATACATAAATATATATATATATATATCTGTGGGCACTCAGCGACAAGCAACGGCAGCTCCTATTTCCATCAAAGCGGACGGGTGCACACGTTCGAGCGTTCAGGGCCCCTTGCAGTTCGAACCGGAATGAGCGGGGTTGTTGAAGGTCAATCGGCACATGACTCCAAACACTCATTTCCACAGCTCCCCAAAATTTCTTTGACCTTCAATCCCCTCCGTAGTTCGCTGCTTGAAATGCCCTTGTCGCGACACTCTCGTCGCTGCGCGAGATGATCGGCTTCTGCGGTGATGCAAAATTCACCGGACCTCAGCATCTCAAAAAGCGCTTTGGTTGCACCCTTGACTTTTGTCAAGGTATCGGCTATCATAGCCGGATGATCTACCCACCTCAGGCTGCCGTTCAGCTGTTTCATTTCTTCTCGGATGATCTGGACCTCAATTGCGGTCCTTTTGTCTTGGCCGCCCACCGTCTCTTTGGCGAGGTAGTCATAGAGGCTCTTTGCTGCGTCCACTATTGCCAGACATTCTTGGAGTGAATGACTGGTCTGATCTGAAGCGATGGCGGTGATCTCTTCGTGTTTCATGTCTGCCGGCCACTCGCGGATGTTGAACTTCTCTTCTTGCAGTTCCCTCAGAAGGACTTTCATCCATAGTAAATCTCCCAGTCCCTTGGACAGAGATTGGGTTTCTGCCGCAAGCGTTGAGTTGACTACTCTTTGTAGTCGGGCGCTGCGCCACCACACCAGGTTTGCTTTCACCTTTCTTCCTTCTTTGAGACCTGGTTCATGGGCCACAATCATCTGGCCTCCTTGTGAGTGGTGTCCGTTGTTTCCGAACGAAGCATCCGTCACCACAGCCAACTGCATGTTTGTCAGTGGCTGTATTTTGATCGCCATCTCTGGCGTTTCTTTCAGCTTCTTCACCACTTCATTCAGGTCCACGATGTCTTCCACAGTGAGCCGTGTTAGTCGTGAAGACATAATGCTCGAAGGTCCTGCTGCGTCTGGCCTGCCCTCTTTGGATAGCCAGTTTAGTGAACCGCACGTGGCTCTTGCCTGTCCTCTTTCTTGTTCGGTGGCCTCGTCTTTTCTTTGGCTCTTCCTTCCTTTCTCCAACTTCACTTCCTGCAGCCTTTCTGAGACGAACTTGCGCATGTCGATGTGCAGGGTTCCATCTTTCTCTCGCTTCAATCTTCTTCCATTGAAGGCCGTTCCATCTTTCTCCTCCTTGAGGTTTACCCACTTTCCAAAACAGTAGGCGCTCCTTAGTTCTTCCATCTTCTTCAGGTGCTCTCCCTTTCCACACGACAGGATATCATCCACTTCTATGGCCAGGATGCCCGTCAGTCTTCCTTGGTCGTACAGCTTGTAGATGCACGGGTCAAGTCTGCTTTCTTGGTAGCCCAGTTTCTTCAGGGTCTGGACCAGTGACCTCCTCCAATGCAGCGGTGCGTCGACCAATCCGTAGCGTCCTGCTATGATCTGCACGATCTGCTCTTCATGCATCCCGTCAATGCCTTCTCGGGGTTGCTTGAAGTATAGAGGCCCATTCTTTCTCTGCAGAGGCTGCGATTGGCAAAATGCGTTCTTGCAGTCTCCGACCTCAATCTCCATCTTCAAATTCACAGCCAGCTGCAACATGACGTTGAGGTTCATCGTGTTTACCGTTGGACTGAACCTCTCAAGTTCCAGGGCATCTGGATCTTGATCTCCTCGAATGCATAGTCGGCTCTTCCGGGTAGGAGGTTCTCCTGGCAAGTCGCTCAGCTTGTACTTTCTGAGCATCCTGCTTGGAAGGATCCTATTCAGCTTTCCTTCCTGTCGGAGTCTTTCTTTGACCTGTCTAGATTCCTCCACTGTCAGCAACTTCACTGCTCCACTGTCGCATATTTTCTGCCATTCTGAAGCATCTGACACCTTCCATTTCTGCCTCGAATCCTCATCTTCTTCATTCAACCTCACCTCTTCTTTCTCGGTGGCCCATATTTCCATTTTTCTTTCATCTTTCTTTGACTGCGCTTCTCGTATGTAGAAGACCGTTTTGCCTTTCCACCATTGTGGCGTCGGTGTCTTCTTCGAACCTTCTGCCACCCATTCATCCTTTTCTTCTTCTTCTCTTCCTTCTTTCATCAAAAAGGTGTGTCTCTCCTTTCCGACCTTGTTGATCAAGATGGGAAGCCGGTTGGACTTCGCCGGATTGAATTTCGTCTTCCTCTTTTGCACATGGTGTCGCGTCAGCGTTCCGGCCCTCTCGTCCAGCTCCCAATAGTCCCTTTTTGGGCTCTCTTTCATCATGTTCCTTATTGCCTGCTTTCTGTACAGGTCCTTTTCCTGTTCTTGTTCTTCTGGGTCTTCTTCTTCTTCTTCCTTATCGGCCGTCATCATGAACTCCAGGTGGTATGGCGCCGAAGTTTCCCTTCCTGTTCTTCTGATCTTTAGTGGTCCGGTTTCTGGGAGTCCGTCCACTCTTCGTGACATTGCCACTGACTCGTCATATCTTCTTTGAAATTCTTGTGGATCGTCTACCCTGAAACGAATTGCTTCCGTTCCACGGGTGGTGTCCTCTTTCCGTTCTTCTTCTTCTGCTTCTGGTTCTTCTTCACTGCTTCGGCGCCTTGTTATTCTTCTTTCTTCTTCATCTTCCATACTTGGAGCGTGATCTGTCGGTGCATATTCCGAGGTTCCTTGTCCGGCTTCTTCTTCGCCTTCTCTGTCTTGCCTGCCTGCCGTCCCTTCATCCTGCATTTCTTCTTCTTCTTCTTCTTCTTCTTCTTCTTCGATTCTTCTTCGATCCTTCTTCTCTTTTGTGGCTCGTCTTCTTCCTCTAGTTTCCTCTTCGCGTCTTCCTCATCTTCCTCTTTGGGCCATTCTTCTTCTCTAATGTCCTTGTAGCCCTTTCGATTTGAGGATCTTTTGTATTCCTCTATGAGAGCCTTGCAATCTTGCATGGCTTCCTCCACTCCTGCCTTCTCAATGTTGGTGGCTGGTCTGCATTGTTCTCTTGCAGCTCTCCATAGTTCCCCAAACATAGAGATCCATAGACTAGAGCCGTCCACCACTAGGACCGTTCCCGGTCCGATCCATGTGTTCTTTTGCAACACCTTCTCCACCTGCTCGGGATGCATGTCATGTTTCCTTTTCTTGATCCTTGGCATTCTGTACACATAGACGTACTCGCCAGGCTTGAACTCTTGTGTTGACTTGCCCCGGGAGTTCATAATTCTCTTCGTCGCTTCCTTGGCATTGTGTTCAATGAAAGCCTTTTGCGCCATCCTCCTCATCTCTTGTGTCCGTTCGATGTCATCCACAATGGCGCCATCCATGAGGCCGGGCTCCACCAGGTCATCCGAGATGAGTGTACTCGGAACTTTGGGCCACTGTCCAATCTGCCTCTGTATTGGAGAGAATCCGGAGCGATTGCTATATCGATTCTTGACCATCTCAACCTCCTGCATGAGTAGCTTCAATTCTTGTTCGGTTGTCACGACGGTCTCTTCCTTGCTTTTCTGCAGCAGCTCCTTGTAGTGCGCTCCATGTCTTTCTGTTTTCCCGTTTTGCCAGGGCGCTTTAGTCGCCGTGGCTTGCACCACCACTCCGTGTGCAGTGGCAAACTGACAAAATCTTTGCGAGAATTCTTTGCCTCCATCCACTATCATGACCTCCGGGAGTCCGAATGTTCTTGCCCAGGATGACCAGAATGCTTCCCAAATAGTTTCTGGCTGTTTGTTCTCCACCCGCTCGATCATCTGGTAGTTGCTTCCCCAGTCCACAATGGAAAGTGCTGGGAACTGTTTCTTTCCTCCCACGTCTGGAAGGTATATCAGGTCCAGACCCAACACTTGATTGGGCTGGTATGTCCTTGGAAGCGCTGCCCTTCTGACTGTCTTGGGCTTTGGCCTTGCTTCGCACGCTGAACATTTGTATTGTTTGTGCGTCCATTGTATGACCTCTGGTCGAATCCTGGCCGCTTTCATGAACCTGATGAAGTCATACGATGCTGGATGCCCGAGTCCTCGATGGAGCTTATCTACCATCCTTCGATCTTCATCATTAATGCTTCTTGAGCCTTCTCCTTCTCCTTGCATTTGCGCAGTTTCTCGTTCCATTCTGAGGGGCTCTTCTTCGTCTTCCTCCTCCTCTTCTCCTTCTTCTGCAGCCCAATGTGAGGGTTCTCCATCGTCTTGCATCTGTTTGATGAACCCCTTGATGATGGCTTCGCACATCTTCTTCGGGTATACTTGTGCCAGCTTTGGTCTTCCGTTCATGGTGGGGGCGTGGAAGTGCTTCTTGTCGCATTTCCTCCTCAGTTGCTTCGCAATTTGATCGGAATTCACCAGAACCTTCGTGGGCTTCTTGTTCAATCCCAGCTGGTCCACTTGTAATCCGTACATGCACTGGTCGAAGTCCTCAGTCCAAATTCCAGGAATTTCCTCCAGCTTCTTCAGACACTCTTCTTTCCATGATTTGGCTTCTTTTGGCTGCTCCAGTACAAAATATCCTCCTTGACGATGCTGCCATAGTGCCACTTTCGCCGCAAGCTCCAAGTGTTCCAGTCCTGTGGCGATGATTCTGACAGCAGTTCCCCATGACATGTTCGGAAAGTTCAACTCTTGCACTGGAGTGAACGCCGTGCATGGCGGACATATGACCAGAAGCTTCGGTCTTTCTTTCTTCAGCGTTTGCCACATCTTCTTGACGTGTTCAGGCCTTGACAGATCCCATCCTGTCAGAAGATCAAAACACGTTGCCCTGGGAATTCCTTTCTTCTCTCCTTCTTT